CAAGATTTGATTTTATTAATTCTTTTTTACTTCCATTAGTAAATTTTTTTTATTAGTTTTCTTCTTTTTATAATTAGCAAGCCATGCTTTGACAGGCGTGTTAGTAAGAATCATAGTTGACCGCTTTTTCCTACCTCTTTTTGATGCTAACCTCGGGCCTGCTTTAGGCAGAGGTTTAATACTCTCAGGGGGTATGATTGAATTGTTAAAACCTAATGTTGTAATTGGGTTCTGATTAGAGGTTTTATTTGATACAACTGGATCTTCTATTGTTATGTCTACCTGATTATCTGGTATCTGAATAGATTCTTTAAATTTTTTATTTGATGGTTCTGGTTGAATTGAATAAGATTCACAGTCTTTTTTATTTGAATCAGCCTGTGAACTTGGTGGGTCAGGGCAATCAGTTGCATAGTTAGGACAGTAATCATTTTCAGTAAACACATCAGGATTTAACGGGTAAATACCTGTTGCAGAAAAAACACTTAAAATATTGTGGGGAGATATTGCCTTTGGAAATGCAATATTTATTATTTTTGGAATATCATATATTGTAACAGCTTTTCCAGGATTCATTACTAACCATGATGTCATAGCAGTATTTATGTAGTTTTTGAGAGGACCATAAACTGCCTTATCAAAGGGCTGCAACTTATGTGTGCAATGTGGTGGGAAGGTAAGCATTACTATTCCATTGTTTTTTGCCAAATCTAATCCTTCAATACTAAGATGAGTTTCGTGATTGTCAAGCAACAATAAACAAGGCTTTTCTTTAGCACATTTTGTATTGCCTACAAAATGTTTTAGATATTTTACAAAGTTTTCTTCTTTCATCCAACCACTTGGATTTGCATCTCCTGTACTTCCTGTTGGTGCACTGATTAGGAAATGATCTTTAAAGTTTTTACGAGGAAAAATAAAAAAGGTTGGAATACTATTTCCAATAGCATTTATTGTGCATGCTAATGTTACAAGAGTTCCTCTTTCTGACGTGATGGCTCCTACTTGTTTTAATCCTTTTTTCGCAATAACCTTTTTAGGTTGCTGTACAGTAAATACAGCAGTTTCGTTTATGTTCCAAATGTCATTTCGTGAGAACGAGTATTTTTGCATACAGTGCTGCAAATTGCTAAAAAATGATGCAACATTCTGCTTATTGAAACTTGTCGCTCGACTTAAACTAGTAGCTTCAGGTTGCCTAATGGAAATATTTGAATGGCGCTTTATAAATCCTGTAAACCAATCCTTACCAGCTTGTTCCTTTACAATCCAAGAATTTGGAACCTTCATATTATTTTTAATTGCTAGCTGGAAAGCAAGCTTTTATACTTCGGTAGGAGTTAAACCAAAATATATATCTGCTGCTCGCAACAGGTAGGTGACCAGTTCTTTTTCTCCTTTTTCTGGCAATATCAATCGACTTTTGTATCCTATAACATTCAGGGAGGTGGGGTTTTCAATTTTGTCAATTAGATCTGCTATAGAACCATGTGATGGGTTAGTAATAATAATTTTTTTACAATAATGTGCTAATGTTCTGTAATTAATGCCATGGTTTTTTGCTGCTGATCTAATAGAAATGTTATTAATCTTTACATCTTTAACAGCACACATTATAACATCTCCAGAAGTATAACCTCTATTAGTTTTTCTTTTAAAATTTCGTACCATTACGTACGAAATTTTAAAAGAAAAACTAATTTTTTCGTTTATTACTAAGCAAATAAAAATATTTGCAAATAATGTAAACAAAACTTTAATATATATATATATATATATATATATATATATATATATATATATATATATATATATATATATATATATATATATATATATATATATATATATATATATATATATATATATATATATATATATATATATATATATATATATAAACCCACTAAATATAAACAATGCACAAACAAAACAACAGACAGTTTTACAAACTAAACAACAGCTAGTTGTTTAGTTTGTAAACAAAACAATAAACAGTTGAACTTCTGCAATCCTTTTTCTATAATTATACTAAACATTGGATCGGAATCTAAAGTTATGCACGTTGAAATAAAAATAATTTAGATTACAGATATTTAGTTAAACAAATATAACACTTTGACTTTAGATTTTTAAATAATATCTTAAACATTAAAATATTCCTCAATAATGCGGAAAATAAACAAAGCCACTAAATATTATGCAAGCGGCGTTTAATTTGCAGCGCATGGAGTCGAGGCAAGTGTGACATCCATCCCCATATATTTTGTGACAAGCAACCCCTTCTGAGTAAGTTGCTGGACACCTGTACATTTACTTAAAAGCGTGAGAATTTCATGATAATTTTTTACGGATTAAGTTACTCAAATGAATAAAGTACTTTATAAATCTACATTCAAAACACAATAAAATAATTTTTTTTTGGTAAAAGAAAATTTCTGAGTAAGCGAAATTTTACTTTTTCATATCAAAAACCTATAAAAACGAATAACTTTTCTTCTGCACGCTAAAAAAAGATAAAAATTACTGTAAAAATGTTTTTTTATATAACATTTCCTTTGTATAATTTGAAATTTCTATATCTTATTTACATTTCCTGTAATAAACTTTGTGACAACCAACCCGCGTGACAACCAACCCCGCTCTCCCCTATTTTAAATATAATATACCTACTAATCACTTAACCTACTTAAACATCAAAACAAAACTGCTTGAGCAAAAAAGACTTGTAATTATTGGAAAAGTTTTCTTATGTTCCATACAATCCTGAATAAATCGTTTTATAAGTGGATTTTTTACATTTTATAAACAATATATAAACAGATAACATATTTTTTTATATAAATTGTTTATATAGAGATGGTTGGGCGCCAAACTTGACTATTCAACAAAGTTTAAAATAAGTTAGTTTTATTAAAAAATTATTTATATGATGTTTCCTCGTTTATATAATGTTTCTTTGCAAACACCAATACTTAGAATTTTTAAGCACTGAACTGCAATTACTTTTAATTCTTTTGGTTTGGTGGCTTTTGTTAAGAATTTTTAAATTTTGTGTCCAATTATCTCATTTCAACATATTCGTTATATCATCCATACTACAGCCGTTTTTCAAAACGCCTTAAGGTAAAAAATATCATTTTTGACTTTTTTACAAAATAAGCTTTGTTTTTTTGGTTTTATCTACAAACGTTATTGAATACATATTTTCAAAAAGTTCTGAAAAAATTCATTAGAATTATTTTTTTTAAAAAAAAACGTTTTACAAAGAGTTTATATATACATTGTTTGCGCTAAACCACCTATTTAATAATGTTCTTTTTAATTGCGTTTTTCTCGAAATACGTAATAAGCATATTAAGGCGTTTTGAAAAACAGCTGCAGCACATAATTATTGTAAAAAAATAAAAGTAGCAAAAAAAACTATTTGTCAAAATAAATTTTTAATTTATTTTCTAACTACGGGCTTTTTTTTTTTTTTTTTTTTGCAGTACTTTCTGGAATAGCAGAACTGTTTTAAAAAGTTTTTTTTTTTTTCTATTAAGTTTTTTTTCAGACCATCCGCAGCTTATTTGGACTAATTAGCTAAGCACGTTATTAACATAAGTATCTCAATCATGACACAAATTTTCTTTGATTTACATAAAAAATAATAAAATTTCCGTGATATACATTTCACTTTAATAGCAAATACACGAATAAATAATAGATTAGTAAAAAAATTATAAAAAATTTTGATAAAGTATATAAAAGCACATAATAGTATAATTACATTACATGTAATTATATTATTACACGGTTACCTTAAGGTTGTTACTCTATATGAGTGATTTAACTAAAACCTAAATTTTCTTTTCTATAATTTCTATAATATAACTTATCAAATTATTGTTTTTATTTAATATAAAACCATTTCAAAAACCAAATTTAAAATTTCTTAACAAAGATACTTAGATCTAAAAAGAAAAATAATTATTTATAAATGAAATAATTTTTACCTATCTGGTTCATTGTCATCACTAAAAAAATAAATATGAAATCAATAAAAAACCTTTTATCATATTTAAAAAAAGATTTTTTTTTGTTAAGTTTTGCTTAAGTTGAAAATTGGTAAAAATCAAAATACAATATCTATCTTAAATCCTTTTTTTTTTTAAATTTTTTTTTTTTTTTTGCAGATTATTTACTTTGATAGACTATAATAAAATATATTAAAAAAGTATAAAAAGTCTTACAATTTTGAAAAAAAGTATTTTTATTTTCTTTTTGTTCTAAATACAAATAATGAACTTAATGATTAATTATAATGCTCATAACTAACTTTTTAACTCTTACACCTTTGAGTGCTTTTTTATCTAAATATTATATATATATATATATATATATATATATATATATATATATATATATATATATATATATATATATATATATATATATATATATATATATATATATATGTATATATATATACATATCTATATATTATATACAATTTTAAAAATGTATTCTACAAAATAGAGTGCTCAATTTTCTTGAAAGAGCAAAGCAATTATATATATATATATATATATATATATATATATATATATATATATATATATATATATATATATATATATATATATATATATATATATATATGTATATATATTTATATATATATATATATATATATATATATATATATATATATATATATATATATATATATATATATATATATATATATATATATATATATATATATATATATATATATATATATATATATATATATATATATATAATGTGTCTATGGCGGCAGATTATTTCCAAATAAATTTAAATTTTTATTTCTCTCTGTTTATTTTGTTAAATATTATTATGATTTTATTTATAATTTTGTTTTTAAATGTTACTTTTTTTATAATTCTGTATTTTATAAGTAATATTTTATATCTAATATAATATATTATTACTTATTATTGAAATTGTTCTTGTTGTTGTTTTTTATATAGAGTTTTGATGATGTACACTTTGGTATCAATAGCTGTAAGTAAGTTTACAGGATATGTAGTAAAAGTATAACTATTTAATAACTAATATAACAATTTTTGTATCAAGTAAGTTTATGACTTAACAAAATCAATTATAATTATGAATATCAGCTTATATCACCCACATCTGACATCACTAGAAATACAGCTTAAGCTAATATTAAAGTAAATTTAATTCTAATTAAATATTATAATTTTAAGTTCTAATATTTTATTTCTTAAATATTTTGCTTGCAGCTGATAAAAAATAGCTATTAAGTTTGATTGTCAAATCTCCAAATTTAAGTATACTGATGCTTATCTTAAATAAGAGTGTTTTCCGAAAAATTGCGATGAATGGAACCTGGAAACAAAAAAAGCACTCCAAAATATTATCACCCCTCCTAAACGTGAAAGTGTGTTAAAAAATATTTTAAATAACTAACTTGTACTAAATTTTTTGACAGGTTTCAAGTTTCATCAAATATTCTTTTAGTGCTCAGAATTTATGGCAAAGTTTATAACCTGTCATTTTGGGGAGGGTGGAAACTTCACGTCATAACTTTTGAACTTGAAAAGATTGTTCAATAGAAGAATAAAGATAACATTTCAAAATTTTCATCAATGAGTAATTTTCTTTACATATACATCATTAAATAAAGTTCTACGTAAGCGTAGATTAAAAATGTGTTTATTTTTTTTTGTAGGGTATATAAGTTCCATCTCCAAACACCATTCACCAGCTAAATCATAGAAAGGTTTACCTAATAAAAATTTATTAACAACAATAATGCTAACATATTTGTCTCTCTAAATATTATGTAGGAAAGGGGTTTGGTGATAAAATTGAATTGCAAAAAACCTTTTCAAAAAATTTTAAAACAATCAAAAAAATAAAAGAAATTACGGTTTAAAACTTCTTAGCAGACCGACTACGTTCGGGTTTCTCCTTAACGTGTAATTAAGGAGAGATCCAAACAATTTGCATTTCTTAAAAACAAAAGTTTACATTTTTAAACTTCAATTTTTTGTGTTTTTCGCTTATTTTCGACTATTACTGTTATATATTTTCAAAAAGTAGAATTTAAGCTTTTCTTATATAATTGATTATTTTTTATAAATCTTTTTTTAACCAAAGAATCGAGCAAAACAAAACTACCACTAAAATACATAAAACGCGACTGGGCAGCGTCATAAAAACAGCTGAAACAAATGTGTTGAGTATTTACATTCCAAAAATGTCTCTTTTATTCGAAAGTAAAAAAACTCCTCGTTTACAGCATTAAAATATTCAATAAATGACTAAAAACCGCTTATTTTATCTTTCCGTAAACAGTAAAAAAATTTAAGTCAAAGTTTTCACATAAGTTTTACACTTATAGTAATTTACTACCATAATTCTTTATAGTTGTAAAGAAAATTCTTCTGCCCCATAGTATTTAGCTAAAACTTCAAACTCTTAGATAATAAAATCACCCAATATTTGTAAACAAAATAAAACTACGAGCTTCGTGATTTTTTTAACAAAATAAACCAATCAAAACGCACGCAAAGAAACCCCGGCTTTTTTGAAAACGAAAGGGCCTAAACGCGATATTTTTCTTCGGATCTCAGTTTAACTTTGCTGAGTAAAGAGATTTAAACCAATAAAACAGTTTGAAAAAATAACAACAATTTTCCCAAATACTTAAACATTTACATAAACCATGTTGTATAATATAAAAAACACTAGATTTTAAAATGTTTTAAATAAAATATATCTTTAAGGGAGCTTTAACACCATTCTTTCTTTATCAGAGACTCAAGTTAAAACTTAAACTGCTTTAATTTAAGACCCAGATTACTTAAGTTTGAGAAACTTTTTCTTTTTTTAATGATGTTAGAAAAAAGGGTCTTGAGTGGACTTAAAACCCCTAAAAATTTTTATTTTTAAAATTCATCATATATTTTTAAAATTCAAAGATATTTTTATTAAATTTAATACAGCCGTAGCGGAATGGTTTGAGCAGTGAGTTTGATATAAAATCAAGAACTTTGAAGGTAATTGCCCGTTATGGAAAAGTATGCGATATCGGTAATAAAAATGAACATCTTCAACAGTGTGAACTTCCACAAATAAAAATTAAATGATATTTCTAAAAGATTTACATCTGTGCAGTGGAAGTCATTAATTGTACTTATAAAGTATTAAAAAAGATGGTATTTGTTTGAGTCCAATTCATACTTAACAGGCTTAGTTGGTTAATGGTATTTTTGTAGTATTGCGTCTGCATATGAGGTTTACTATAAAATTAATATTTAATTAAATAATCTGCTAGTGATCCTAAAGTTCTTGAGACCTCTTTCTCATTTATCAGCTGTCACAATAGGCACCAGCAATTTTCAACTTTTTTTAAAAAAATCAATTGCATTAAGCGGGAATACCTTTATGAAACCATAAAACTACAATGTGCAAAATTTGAAAGTTGCAATTCTTTCCGATTCTATCTTGTTTTAATTTAAATGTTTGACATATAATTCATTATGAAACATAAGCATAGAGTGTGTTTTTGAATGATTTTTTGAATGAGTGTTGTGTAAAACATTTTTTTTGCATGTTTTCATGTATAATGAAACATACAGTACTGGCCATTAATAACATTAACAACATCTTTTTTTTTTATATCATTGGACTTTGATTGATATAAAATCAATGATTGTTTGACTCTTTATAAATATAAAAAATGTATATTGATAAGCATTCTATTTTCTTTCAAATAAATATAAATATTCATAAATATAGTATTCGATGTGCAAATTATATTGCTTTTTTTTAACATATGTCTCATAATCTAAAATAACTATTATGGCTTTCGGTGTTGTGTTCAAACATTTATAAGAGTACTTCAAAAACACAATTACATGTGGCAAGAACATTGAAGGCGTTGGTCATTTCTAAATATTTGATAGAAAGCTTGATTCTCTAAGATATTTAGATATATTGTATAATTTTTTGATAATTATTTGATTTCTTCTATTGACATTTTCCCAAAAGTTATGCGAATCTTTTCACAAGATAGTACTTCATGCTGCTAGGATTTTCAAGCAATTGTATGAAAAAAACAACATTAAAACTATGTCTTGGCCTGCCAATAGTGCAGATCTTAATTATATAGTAAAAAAGTGGTAAAATTAAATAAAACAATCTAGACCAGATGAAAGAATTATTAACAAAGTTACTAAATAGTGGTCCAAAATAAAATACATTCATACCAATGAATGCTTAAAAGCAAAAGGATTGTCAACAAAGTATCAAAAAAAAAATTATGTTTTGTAAGTATTTTTTTATTAAGGTTTGTTAATTTTGTTTTTGTGGTTAGTTTCTTTAGGCCACATTTTTTTAAATACAAATGAACACTTGTTTTAATTTCAATATTTTAGTTTTTAATTGTTTTAATTTTTATTACTTTATAATAAATATATATTGTGATTATTTAATTTATTTCAACAACAAAAAACTTAGGAAATAATCACTTTTAGTTTATAAAATATTTAATTTCAAACTTATATTCATACTAAAATAATATAATGGATTGTTATTAATGGCCAATACTGTATATAATTTATTTTTTAATTTTTATAATTTTTTAAACACGTTTTGGTCCTTCAAAATGGTCGTTTTACATAAAAGTCATATAGTTATTTGCAGGGCCGACGACATGGGTTTTGAAGTGGGGGGGGCACAATCATCAATTTGTGAAAAAATTCTTTTATATAAAGATTTTTCTTTAAAAAAAAAGGTTCTTTAGAAAAAAGTGGTGTCGTCGAACTTGATATGAACTTATGTAATTAAAACATTTATAAAGAAATATGGTTTCAAATGTTGCAACTTATTTGAATTTAGAGACAGTCAACAAAAGAAAATTTCAGAATTTTTTGTTGTTAAGTTAACAAAAGTAAATTTTAGAATTTTTTGTTTTTAAGTTAGAAAAAATAAACATTTTTTTATCTTAAAAACTTTAGCTTAATGCAGAAAAAATAAATGCTGATGCTAAAACCGCTGAAAAGTTTTAGTTTTGTTTACGTTTACTTATTTTTATTGGTAGCAGGAAAAAATCCCCGCGAAGAATCCCCCCAATAAAATAACTCTGGATTTTTTTATAATATAAATATTTTCTACTGTATTATTATAATACAATATTTTAATACAATACATTATTATAACACAAACAGAACCTTAATCTTTCATTTTTCATAAATCGACTGACAAATAGGTAAAACATACAAGAAGTGTACATACATCGACTGACAAGTAGTCGATGTATGTACACTTGTAAGTAGAACATGCAAGGAGTGTACAAACATCGACTGACGAAAAAATAGAACAAGCAAGGAGTGTACATACATCGACAGACAAATAGGTAGAACATGCAAGGAGTGCCGCTACATTGACTGAGGTTTTTGGTTTGGGCAGGCAATCTATCAATTTCAAAACAGTATATATTTTTTAATTTTATTTTTTACGGGGGATTTTTTGCAGATCGGTTATTTCTTATGGGGATTTTTTCCAGGGGGATTTTTTCGGGGGGATATTTTCTGGGGGGATTTTTTCCGGGGTAATTTTTTCCAAGAACCTTTATAATGACTTGTTTCTTTGTAATTCTACAAAAAATGGCGTCTTTAAAAAAGTTTATTTATGTTGATTTTTCAAACATTTTTAAAATAAGTTATCTAGTTAATTTAAGATTTTTTTTATTTGTGAATAATCTCTTATTTTCATATAAAATATCTACTCCAACTTAAAACAATTTATTACCAAAAATTGCCGGTACCTATCGTCATAATTCTCATATCGTCAGAACTCTAACCATAGCAGCCGTCCAGAGGTCCGAAGTTCGACGCGGGCTCTAGCTCTATAAGCGACACTGGTAAGGAATAAGGCGTGAATTTCTTCTTAAATGCTCTCCCACGATCCTCCATGATAAGACCGTAAGTACTTCTGGGAGTACCTAAAAACTTAAAAAAAATTAATAATAATAGCAACATCAGTATTTTCCACCGTTACATAATTTCAGAAAAAAACGTTCAGATATTGCTCATTTTAAATTTAAGATAAGTTTAAGGTCTGAGGCTGAAACAGGAACTTTATGACAGTATTTAGAGGTCCTTTTCTCCATCTAACGCGTACAAGAAAATTAAAAAAATCCACTTTCACGAAGGAGTAATCTAGTTTTACACAAAATGTTCAATATAGTTAAGAATACCTTTTTTAAAAAACTTTTATCACAATTGATGTGACATAATTGTAAAATATTGTAAAGCTTAACCAAGCAGTGAGTAGAATCATCGTGTGTTTTTTTGTCATCCAAATCTTCCAACGTATTTTTTTATTTCCATTATTAAAATAATTAGCATCCTTAACAGGAAGTGCGTTTCTTGTTGCAAAATTCAAATTTTAAATTGTAGTTTTTTTTTGTAAGGACGACAAGAAACGTAACCATCTATTTGACAATATTTTAAGTCAAATGAATTTCTTTGTTTTAATTAAATCTTTTCACTTTTCAGTAAGGAAATTTAGTAAAATTAAATTTACAACGGCTTCTTGTATCTTGCTCCATGCAGTAATTAGCACAACTGCCATCTTCTTATTTAAAATTTTCCAACTTTTTGGAATTACTTTTCATAATGTAGCTTTAAAAATATAGCTAAATATCCATGGCCACACCATGGATTGGCCACACCGCTTTCTGTGTTGTTGCTAAGCATACGAAGCATTCTTGGTTGAGAAACTTTATTTTTACGAGTTGTCACTATCTATTAGTCATCTCATTTTCTAACAGGATACTGCAAAAAGTAATTTAAAAAAACGTTTTGAAAACAAAGTTTATAAGAAATGACGTGAATCAGTCTAAATCTGCAGTTCAAGTATTGCTATGTGAGCATACTGATACCTCTGTGATGCCTATGTGAGCATACTGATACCTATGTGAGCATACTAATACATTTGTCTTTCAAGTATAACGTAATGAAAATTTAAAAAATAGATTTTTTTTAACAATTGTTAATCCTGAAATCTTGCAAGTATTTTTTTATTTATACCACTAAAGATTTTTATCTTTGAAATCAAATTATATCATTTAATTATACTTTCAGTTTCAAATAAAAAATTGATGCGTAAAAAAAGACAAACGCTTACTTGGAGAACACCGGATGGAATGCCACCAGGAACATCTATTGCTTTTTGCAACTCTAGTAATTGTTGCATACCTAAAAAAACGCTGAATGTTGATGGCACCACTTACAATCTTTGTAGAGAATGTGTTCATGTTATAACTCTTCCAGCGAGGTATGAAAAAAAGATTATTACTTTAATAAAACTATTAATTCAAGACTAATTAAATATAATCTTAAAATTTTCAATAATCAAAATGTTATTCAATGTTTTAATGATCTCTCTCAAAGAAACATTTAAATCAATATTTTTTAAAATCATGAGAAGTTAAAAAGTCGTGAATTAAGATTAGATTAAAAATTGGTCATACAATCGGACAACGGGAGATTAGCTCAGTGGGTACCGGACCTAAAAAAGACGTCTTTTGAACGTTGAAAAGACGTCCAAAATATTCAAAAGACGTCCAAAACGTGTATAAGACGTCTATTTTACGTCCGTGCCCACTTGGAGATTTCTGCAACCCATATGAGTTGTAGTTTTTTGTAATTTGTTGATCACAAGTTCAGCTGATTTTATATTGAAAAAAAGAAATTATTAAAAGGTACTCTAAATAATTTTTTATTTGTAATAGTTATTCACCACGTATTCACAATTACGTAACGTGCCAAGACACAGACTATTATGAGACCTGTTTGACTGGCGAAGGTTCGTGTACAACAAATACACTCCCTACAACAGTTAGTTTTCAAAACCAAACAGTGACGTTTATGTTTGGAAAATCGTGTTCGTGTGAAATTCGTACTGACTCAATATTTGCAGATTTTATTTAAGTTTTTATTTGTATTATTTGCAGATTTTGCTGTAAGTTTTTTTTTATATTAAATGTAAGCATATTTAAAAAAACTTTAAAAAATAAAGTATGCTGTTTAGTCTTCTTTTCTTTTTTTTTTTTTTGTGATAATTTTTCTGTGTGATCTTAACAGAGCTTAGAGACATTTTTCTGTGTGATCCTAACAGAGTTTAGAGATATTTTTCTGTGTGATCCTAACAGAGCTTAGAGATTTTTTTCTGTGTGATTCTAACAGAGTTTAGAGACATTTTTCTGTGTGATCCTAACAGAGTTTAGAGATTTTTTTCTGTGTAATCCTAACAGAGTTTAGAGACATTTTTCTGTGTGAACCTAACAGAGTTTAGAGATATTTTTCTGTGTAATCCTAACAGAGTTTAGAGACATTTTTCTGTGTGACCCTAACAGAGTTTAGAGACATTTTTCTGTGTAATCCTAACAGAGTTTAGAGGTTTTTTTCTGTGTGATCCTAACAGAGTTTAGAGATTTTTTTCTGTGTGATCCTAACAGAGTTTAGAGATTTTTTTCTGTGTGATCCTAACAGAGTTTAGAGATTTTTTTCTGTGTGATCCTAACAGAGTTTAGAGATTTTTTTCTGTGTAATCCTAATAGAGTTTAGAGATTTTTTTCTGTGTGATCCTAACAGAGTTTAGAGATTTTTTTCTGTGTGATCCTAACAGAGTTTAGAGATTTTTTTCTGTGTGATCCTTATTGAGTTGGAAAGTATTTTTTTGCATTATAAGTTTAGAGATATTTTCTGAATTGATAACTTAGTTTGAATTTGATACTAAAACTATTAATTAACTGACTTATCAAATTATAAAAAAATTAAACAAAAATAGTTAATTATAAAATTAGTCGCGGAAATACGGAAGTGCCAAAATTGGCAAATTTAAATTCAGCCAAAAAAAGATTGCCGTTAAATGCAAGACACCTCACAATTGTCAGAAATGCTCATTTTACACGAAAAATACTTTGATAAGTTTTTTATTTCACTAATTCAACAACAGATTAGGGTAGTTTTGAAACAAATTTTATAAAAATTAAAATCTTTTTAAAAAAGATGCTTCATAAACGGTATATGAACTTTATTTTGAAAAATGAATAAAACATAACATAACATAAACAGGAATATGAACTTTATGTTGAAAAATGAGTTTCAAATATATTAAAAAGGCATTTACTTTTAATGTTGCTAAAAAAAAAAAAAATAACCTGTGTCACAAATAGTAAAAGAGAACAGTGTCACAAATAGTAAAAGGAAGATTGAAAGGAACTCTAACCACTGCACCATGGCATGTACTATGGCTGCTATTGAAAGAAATGATACTCATCCCTTAATATGCCTAAATTGGTTCCCAACATCTGTTTCATTAGTAAAGGATTCAAAAGTTTTAATTTAGTTTTCAAGACCAGCTTTGGGTTCCTCCTTCAGCTTGATTTTGTTGAAAAAAATTGACAATTTCAAAAATTGTTTAATGGTAAATGGTGGAAGCATAACACCCGCAATTCACGCTGTCTCCTACCACATCAAAACTTTTGTCAGTCAAAAAAGGCCTCTTCTTAGGACCCTATAGTGAACATTTTGCCTAAACTACTCGTCAAGATTTTCATCAACATTTGTCAAGGTATAAGCAAAACAATGGTTATTTAGAGTACAGAGAAAGATTGTTGAGCAACATAACCAATCTGAACAGCTTTTCAACCTTAAAAAACTGCTAGCAGAATTCTAAGAGATTAGCAGAAATTACGATTTATAATGAACATTTTCATCATCATCATCATCATCATCATCATCATCATCATCATCATCATCATCATCATCATCATCATTATCATCATCATCATCATTATCATCATCATCATCATCATCATCATCATCATCATTTTTAAATGTTGTTATTTTAAAAAATTAGGAATTTAATACTTTTAAAAATAGTATGACTGAAAATGTTTTCAGAAAATGCTATTTAATAATAAAATATAATTAATAGGGTTCGAATATTTATTTTTCACTAAATTTTGACAATAAATATATTTAAGCAGGTTACACAAGTTAATTTAAAAATTTATTGATTGAGACATAATATTTTTTTGTTTTCTCGTCTGGCAGTCTTTTGACCAGGTTTTTTTACTTTTTTTTAGCATGTTTATGCATTTTGACAGTAATTTATGCCTTAGAAAGTGTTGAGATTTTCACGCTTCGCGTTAAAAGTTAAGTCAAACCTCGCTTTAAATAACAAATCGATATTTTGGTTTATAGAATGAAAATGGTACATGCAGAGATAAAACAATTTTCATCATAACTTTTGGTATTACATAGTAAAACACTCATGTAACCCATATTTTAAAAATAGTAACTAAATTGCACAGTAACCTGAAACGTTTTGAAGCGTAAGTAATAAAAAACTAGTAAAATTTAAAACTACTATAAACTCTTAACTAGTAAACCAATCAATTTGTAATTTTGGTGTGGCCGTGGCTACATTTACGCTATATTTTTTTAAATTATAGAGTGCTTTTATTTCACAGGTTTTTTTATGGCGCTCTATGAGGTTAGTTACTTAAGTCTTACTTACTTAAGTCGAACATTCAAGTTAAATTTTTCTGCCAACAAAGTTTAAAGATTCCAAAGTTAGTATTATTGGGTACCTTGATAAGTAACCTGTCATCTCATATACCTTCAGCTATACATTAACATACATTATCTTTAGCTTACATTAACTGGCGGAAGTGTATTTGATTAAAGTGTGATAAAAACGATGATTTATTTTAGCCATTTTTAAATTGAAATTAACTAAGAAATGCCACCCTCATTACATTAACTTTAGCTTTCCAATAACTTTAACTTTACATTATTTTTAGCATACCCTAGTTTTAGCTTACATCACATATAGCTTACATTACCTTAAGCTTACATTACCTTAAGCATTCATTAACTTAAGCTTACATTAACTTAAGTTTATATTAACTTCAGCTAAAATTTAATTTAGTTTAAATTAACATTAACCTTAGTTTACATTAACTTTAATTAACATTAACTTCCATTAACTTCAGCTATTCATTAAATTCATTATCTTTAGCTTAAATTAACCTTCGCATACATTAACTTAAGCATAAATTAACTTAAACTTACATTAACTTTAGCTTACATCAATTTTAGCTTACATTAATTTTAGCAGACATTAACTTTAATTTTGCAATAACTTTAGCTTACATTAACTCTAACTTTACATACCCTTAAGCTTATATTAATTTTACCTCGCATTAACTTTAGTTTACATTAACTTTAGCTTACACTAACTTTAATTTTTTATTAACTTTAGCTTACAGTAACTTTATCTATTATTAACTTTAGCTTACATTAACTTTTGCTTATTTTTAACTTTAGCTTACAATAACATTAGCATACATTAACTTAAGCTTACATTAACGTTATTTTACATTAACTTTAATTAACATCAACTTACATTAACTTCAGCTATACTTTAACTTACATTATTTTTAGCTTGCGTTGACTTAAGCTTACATTAACCTTAGCTTTCTTTAACTTACAATAACTTTTACTTTACATTATTTTTAGCATACTCTAGTTTTAGTTTACATTAACTTTAACATTGTCTTTCGCTTATATTAACATAAGCATCCATTAACTTAAACTTACATTATCTTTAACTTACATTGTCTTTCGCTTATATTAACATAAGCATACATTAACTTAAGCTTACATTATCTTTAACTTACATTGTCTTTCGCTTATATTAACACAAGCATACATTAACTTAAGCTTACATTATCTTTAACTTACATTGTCTTTCGCTTATATTAACATAAGCATACATTAACTTAAGCTTACATTATCTTTAACTTACATTGTCTTTCGCTTATATTAACATAAGCATACATTAACTTAAGCTTACATTATCTTTAACTTACATTGTCTTTCGCTTATAATAACATAAGCATACATTAACTTAAGCTTACATTATCTTTAACTTACATTGTCTTTCGCTTATATTAACATAAGCATACATTAACTTAAGCTTACATTATCTTTAGTAGACATTAACTTCAGCTAACATCAAATTACATTAACTTTAAAATTACATTACCTTAAAAATTACATTAACTTCCATTATTTTCATTTTACATTAATTTTATGTTTATTTTATGTTTCACTTACACTAACTTAAGCACACATTAACTTTAACTTTACATTAACTTAAGCTTACATATACTTAAGTTTATATTAACTTTAGCTAAAATTTAATTTAGTTTAAATTAACATTAACATTTGCTTATATTATACAGTTTGCGGTAGTGGTGTAGTGGTAGAGCGCTCGCTTCATAAACGAGTGGTTCTGAGTTCGATCCCCACCACGTCCCTGGTAGTACCGAGCTCAACTCGTTTCTCCGTGCAGCGGCCTTGTTTGTCAAGGGTCGTGTTTTGGAGTTATAGAGTTGAGAGAACCACAAATAAGTAGCCTCCTCGTCTGTAGTAGCCTTCTCGGCCTTGAGGAGGTGATTTAAATAAAAAAAAAAAAAAAAAACTTTAGCTTTCTTTAACTTTAGCTTAAATTACCTTTAACTTACATTATCCTAAGCTTACATTAACTTCAGTTTACATTAACTTCAGCTAACATTAACTTACATACACTTTAATTTTCACTAGTCAATTCTAGGTTATTTAGGTTAAAAATTTGATAACTTAAAAAAAATTTATTACAAAGTGTTCAAGACTATTATATAGACAATATTATGAAAAAAACAAATTATTTGGTGTACGTCCTGATGAGAAAATCAGTTTTTAAAGGGGATCAGGGCAACTTTTCCCCCTCCCCTTGCCCCCCTGTATTTATTAAAAAAAAAATTATGCCATCTTTAGAAAAATCAAGCATCAGTTACATATTCAAAAATTCAATAAAAAATATTTAGGCGTTCAAAAGATATAACCATTTAAAATAAAATTACAAAAAATTAAATTTACTTTACATTAAAATATAGCGTAATACTCATGATATAATAAAGCCTAATCTGAAATATTATTGTATAAGATTGTATAA